TGGGTGCATATATGTTTATAATGGTTATATCCTCTTCTTTGAGTGAGCCCTTTATCATTATGCAATGTCCTTCTTTATCTCTTGTTACTTTCTTTACTTTGAAGTCTATTTTGTCGGATACTAGTATTGCAACACCTGCTTTTTTCTCTCTGTTGTTTGCATGAAATATCTTTTTCAATCCCTTGACTTTTAATCTGTGCATGTCTTTGGGTTTGAGGTGAGTCTCCTGTAAGCAGCATATAGATGGCTCTTGCTTTTTTATCCATTCTATTACTATGTGTCTTTTGATTGGTGCATTCAGTCCATTTACATTTAGGGTGATTTTTGAAAGATATGTACTTATTGCCATTGCAGGCTTTAGATTCTTTGTTACCAAAGGTTAAGGTTAGCTTGTTTACTACCTTACTGTCTAACTTAACTCACTTATTGAGGTATTATAAACACAGTCTGATGATTATTTCTCTCCCTTCTTATTCCTCCTCCTCAATTCTTAATATGTTGGGTGTTTTGTTCTGTGCTCTTTTTAGGAGTGCTCCCATCTAGAGCAGTCCCTCTAAGATACCCTGTAGGGGTAGTTTGTGGGAGGCAAATTCCCTCAACTTTTGTTGTCTGGGAATTGTTTAATCTGTCCTTCATATTTAAATGATAATCGTGCTGGATGCAATGTTCTTGGTTCAAGGCCCTTCTGTTTCATTGCATTAAATATATCATGCCATTCTCTTCTGGCCTGTAAGGTTTCTGTTGAGAAGTCTGATAGCCTGATGGGTTTTCCTTTGTAGGTGACCTTTTTTCTCTCTCTGGATCCCTTTAATACTCTGTCCTTGTCCTTGATCTTTGCCATTTTAATTACTATGTGTCTTGGTGTTGTCCTCTTTGGGTCCCATCTCTCAGGAGTTCTGTGTGCTTCCATAGTTTGAGTAACTATTTCCTCCCCCAGTTTGGAGATGTTCTCAGCAATTATTTCTTCAAAGACTTTCTATCCCTTTTTATCTCTCTTCTTCCTTTGGTACCCCTATAATGTGGATGTTGTTCCTTTTGGATTGGTCACACAGTTCTCTTAATATTGTTTCATTTCTGGAGATACGTTTATCTCTCTCCACATCAGCTTCTATGCATTCCTGTTCTCTGGTTTCTATTCCATCAATGGCATCTTGCATCTTATCCATTCTGCTTATAAATCTTTCCAAAGTTTGTTTCACTTCTGTAATCTCCCTGTGGACATCTGTAATCTCTCTCCGGACTTCATCCCTTAGTTCTTGCATAATTCTCTGCAGCTCTGTCAGCATGTTTATGATTTTTATTTTGAATTGTTTTTCTGGGAGACTGGTTAGGTCTGTCTCTGCAGATCCTCTCTCAGGTGTTTTCTGAACTATCTTGGACTGGACTAAATTTTTTTGCCTTTTCATGGTGATATCAGTGGCTGTAGGCAGGTTGTGGGTGTGTCAGCTGGGAAAAGAAAGTCCTTTCCTGCTTGCTGGATACCTTGCTCCTTCTCCGCTCCCTGTGTTGGTTATTTGCACTCCTGAAGCAGCCACCGGGTTAGTCCCCTAAGCTGCTGTGGGCAGGGTCTCCATCAGAGCAGCATGGAGCCCTGTGGGAGTTGCAGTCACACCAGGTGCGCTCCTCCGTGATAGCAGCGCCCCTCCCAGGCAGCTATGTGCCAGCAGCAGCCTTTGGGTCTGGCCCAAGCGGCTGTGCATTGGGCTGGGATTCCGGTTGGCTGCTGGGAGCATGCCTGCTCCCTCTGGCTCTGCTGCAGGTGCGTGTGGGGCTCTCCCACACAGGCCTCTACTGGGCTCCTCTGGCTCCACTGCCACCAGTGCATGCGAGCCATACCTGAGCTGTTTGGTCGCTGCTGCTGTGGGCTCACACAAGCCTGTCCTGGTCCCCTCTGGCACCGTTGGTGCACGCAATCTGCTCCTGGTCCCTTCCAGCGCTCCTGCCCCCGGCCCACGCTGCCAGTCTCCCACTACTGGGCCAGTGTGTCAGGGTCCGTGCCACTTGGAGGAACGACTGGCAGGTTTAGTGCCATGAGAGCTGCGCTGCCTCCCCGGGGTTTAGTGCACCTAAGGTTCACCGGGATTCCCAGCTGCTGGCTAACTGTGCTGGGACAACTTCATCCAGCTATGGGGTCCCTGTCTCTTTAAGACTTGCAGAAAGCACTCGCTTTTCTTTTGTCACAGAGGCGCCAGTTGCAGGAACCTGCCCACAGGTTTTGCTTTTCCTTTTCTCTAATATCCAGCACCCCTTGCACTTTGTGTCTGTGCTCTGGGTATGGATTTCTAGAGTTGGTTGTTTAGCAGTCTTGGGCTTTCACTCCCTCCCCATTATGACTCCTTTCTTCCTGCTGGGTTCTGGGGTGGGGTGGCCTTCAGGTCCCACCTGGCCACAGCTTGTATCTTACCCCCTTTGTGTGATGTTGAGTTCTCACAGATGTAGATGTATCCTGGATATTGTACTGCATCCACTGGTGTTTCTTTTAGGAATAGTTGTATTTATTGTATTTTCATAAATATATATGTTTTGGGGAGGAGATTTCCTCTGAACTACTCACGCCACCATCTTCCTGTGATCCTCCTTGGTATATATTTTGCATGCACTTAAAAAGAATGCATATTCTGCCATTGTTGGGTATAATGTTTTACAAGTGCCAATTAGTTAAGTTGGTTAATAGTGATGTTCAAGTCTATCTACTATATCTTTGCTGATAGTTTATCTCCTTGTTCTGTTAATTAAGAGAGGGGATTGAAATTTCCAACTACCATTGTGAATTTGTCTATTTTTCTTGCAGCTTTATTATGTTTTGTTTCATGTATTTTGAAGCTCAGATATTAGGTCAATAAACTTTTAGGATTACAATCTCTTGATAGATTTACCCCTGTATCATTGTGAAATGATCTTCTTTATCCCTCATAATTATTTTTTGTTCTGGAATATATCTTGTCTGATATTAATAAAGTTCTTTCAGTTTTCTTTTGATTTATGTTAGCCTGGCATATCTTTTCCCATCCTTTCACTTTATTAAAGTATTGTTGAAATACAATCTTATGATGGTTTCACATACACAACACAGGGGTTTCAACATTCAACCATATTATCAAATCCTCAGTTCCTCCATTGTGGTCCCTATCAATGTGGTAAGATGTTATAGAGTCATTGTCTTCTCCATGCTGTATTGCCTTCCCCATGATCTACCTACATTGTGATTGCAAATTATAGTGTTCCTTAATCCCCTTCTCCCTCCCTTCCCAACTCCTCCCCTTTGGTAACCACTAGTCCCTTCTCAGTGTCTGTGACTCACAGTCTACTGCTACTTTGTTCCTTCTGTTTTGCTTTGTTTTTATATTCCACAGATAAGTGAAATCATATGTCTTTCTCTGACTGGCTTATTTCACTGAGCATAACACCCTCTAGATCCATCCATGTTTTTACAAATGGCAAGATTTTTCTTTTTATGGCTGAATAATATTCCATTGTATATATATATATACCACCTCTCCTTTATCCATTAATTTATTAATGGACACTTAGGTTGCTTCCATTATCTTGGCTATTGTAAATAGTGTGGCAATAAACATAGGGGTGCATATATCTTTTTGAATCAGGGATCTTATTTCCTTTGGGTAAATTCTTAGGAATGGAATTACTGGGTCAAATGGTATTTCTATTTTTAGTTTTCAGAAGAACCTCCATATTGCTTTCCACAGCAGTTGAACCAATTTACATTCCCACCAACTATGTAGGAGGGTTATCTGCATCCTTGCCAGCATTTGTTGTTTCTTATCTTTTGGATATTGGCCATCCTAACTGGTGTGAGGTGATATCTCATTGTGGTTTTAATTTGCATTTCCCTGATATCAGTGATGTGGAGCATCTTTTCATGTGCCTGTTGGCCATCCATATTTCTTCTTTGGAGAAGTGTCTGTTCAGATCCTCTGCCCATTTTTTAATTGGGTTATTTTTTGTGGGGGTGTTGAGGCATGTGAGTTCTTTATATATTTTGGATGTTAATCCCTTATCAGATAGTCATTTATGAATATATTGCCCATACTGTCCCACCCTTTTACTTTTAGTATAGTTGTATATTTACATTTAAAGTGTGTTTCTTTTAGGCAGCATATAATTGGGCTGTGATTTTTTTTTTGTCCAATGATCTTTTCCTTTAATTGGCTTCCTCATTGTTTAGATCACTTATATTTAATGTGATAAATTATATTATTAGATTGTCTGTCATTTCAATTTTTTTTCTATTTGTCCAATGTGTTTTTTTATTCCTTTTTCTGCTTTCTGATATATTAATTGAATATTTTTTGTGATTCCTTTTTATCCTCTTTTGGATTTTAGCCACAATTGTTTGTGTGTGTGTGTGTGTGTGTGTGTGTGGAATTTTTAGCATTTGTACTATATACCTTTGCTTATCTCAGCCTATCTACAAGTAATATACCACTTCATGTATAAGAGCCTTAGAATATATTCATGGTCGTATTTTGCCATTATATGACCATATGGCCCCTTCAATGACTGGCTTAGCCTACCTCTGGCAGGTATAACTGTGGATGGTGTGACCCTCTTCAGGCAGCCATATCTGGGAATTCTTCAAGCATTTTCTTATATAATGAATCCCAAAGCATTTTGAAGTATTAGATCAGGCTTCCTCTAGATCATCTCAACAAAATCCAGAACCAGTGTCTGCTGGTAATTTTTGGCACCACCTGCAACAAAGCAAGAGTATTATTAATCAGGACATCCCACAAGGGATTATATTTCTAGATGATCCAATCTTAGAGGGCCAGAGCTTAGTTTCTGTGGGGGGGGGTCCTCTGAATAAGAAGTATTAATACAATCCCCATTGTTCTTCATACACTAATTCTCTCAGCTCATTTAAAAATCCAACCTGATTTCTATTTTTATATGTTTCTAAAAAGCTAACTTATTGCCAGGACCTAGTATAGGTCCTTTTTTGAACAACTGTTTTTTAATTGATTAAAATTTTTGAATTGATTAAACTAAGTGATTTTTAAATGTTTTTAAATTGAGAGTATTTTTCAATAAAGGTTGGTTAAATGGAAAGAGAACCTTTGTGCAGGCACCACATGTCATGAACTAGTTCAAAGAACAGTTGAAGAGTGAGCAAGGCAGAGGGGGCAGCATGACATAGTGGTTAAGAGTGTGAGCTCTGGAATTAGAATACCTAGGTTTGAATTATGATTTCTGATGTATGACCACTAAGCTGCTCTTTGTGTTTTGCTTTTGTTTCTTGATAACTTGATTTTCTTTTAGGTATAAGGGAAAGGAACTTAAGAGAGTTATTTGTTTTGATGAAGGAAAATGTGTAACCTTCAAAGAACTTTCCGGCTTTAAAATATTACATCAGACTTTGTATAAAGCAGCTCTCCTGTTTAATCTGGTGAAAAAATTCTAAGAGGAGGATGGTGACATGCATGTATTGATATGGTAAAGAGATAGGCCATGATGTGTGAGCTGCCCATTACTAACAAAGTTATGAAGCTCCTGACAGTATGAGAGAGGTACAATCCTTTAGAAGACTGGAGATTCTAGATGACCATCTTAAGGATTACTTGAGACCTCTCACAGCTCCAGATTTGTAATACAAAGTGCTAGACAATAACTGAATGACTTCCTATATAATTCTGTGACCTTTCAATCTCAAGTCAGAAATATGATATTTCAGGAATGTATCAAAATTTCTGTAATCCAGTTAAGGAATAAACCATTAGAATATAGAAGCCTCAATTCACATCACATTATGATGCACCACAGGAAGTCTTCATTAAGATAATTGACTGGCTGCCTCTGGGGCTACTGCAGATAAAGACTCAAAGATCAAGTCCTTCATTGGAAGACGAAGGTGGAATTTCTAGCCATAACTACATGAATAGAAATGATGTTAACTTGGCTATAGCTGGTGGGTAAGCATTATAATACAGAGCTGGTAATGAGAAAACATAATTGATACCTAGAATATGAAATTAAGAATCAACATGGGGGAGTATGTCAAGGATTCATCTGCAAAGATGACTCAAAAATAATTTTATAGGTAGAAAGAAGGGAAAGTTGAGCTTTCACAGAAAATCTATGATGTTACTACTGTACCTCCTTGAGTACTGTTTGCATTTTTAGCTTGTTAATGTAATTATTTTTAATTTGTTTGAATTTTTATAGCTATTGAAATGGAAAAATATTAAACGTAAGGTATCAACATAAGAATAGATTTTGTTAATCTTTTTTTCATTTATTATTATAGCAATAAAAGTGAAAACTTGAAATTTGTATAGGCATACTATAAAATAATTTTGCTGTCGCTGGAAACTATTATTTTTGGTGTAAAATGAAATATTAAAATATTGAGGATTTTATTAAAAATATGGATAAGTATAAACTAATCATTTAAAATAAGTTCTGATCCCTTGTCAAGTTCACTGAAGGTGTTCTAGACTCAATGATGCCCTGTTGATTTGAGTATCTGAAGCAGCCAGACTAGGGTTTTCAAATTGACCACTATGTGCTCTCTGGAGAAATGACTGACTCCAGATCTGACAGAGGTAATATGCAGGATGAATCCATGGCATTGTAATTAGGTCATTTTCTTAACAAGTATTTTGAAGAGAAGTTATCATTACAATGAGCTCTAGTTTATCAGTTCTCAATTTGATGCTTTTTTATGTCTTACTGAAAAATCTTCACATGACAAACAAAGGTATTGTCTGTTTTCTGCTAGAACTTAATTTCTACTTTTACATTTATGTCCATGATCTATTTCAAGTTGGCTTTTGTATATGAGCTACAGCTTTTTTGTGCGGGGGGGGGGGATATGGATTTCCAATTTTTCCGTTATTTGTTGAAAAAACTACCATTTGTCCATTGAGCTACCTTGTTAAAAATCTGTTGTCCATATATGTGTGGTTTCATTTGTACACTATCCTATTTCCCTCACCTGTTTGTGCTTACACCAATACCACAACCTTGATTATCCTACCTTTTAATAAGCTTTGAAGTCAGGTTATGTGAGTCTTGTTCTTTTCTCAAGTGTTTTATTTCCATATAAAATTTTTCATTTCCATATAAATTTTTGAATCAGCTTGTCAATTCCTACAAAGTACTCTGTTACGTTTTTTTTTTGTGGGTGATAGAATTGAATATACAAGTCAATTTGAGGGGAATTGATATCTTAAAAATACTGGATGTGCAAAACAGTATATCTTTCAATTTATTTAAATATTTAGCAAAATCCACTTATTATGCCTAGTAAATTTTTTGGTAGCTGTTGAGATCCTCTACGTAGATCATGCTGTCCATAGAGGAATTATATTTCTTCTATTCCAACTGTATGGTTCACTTCTCTCCCCTTTGTTTTCCCTACCACACTAGCTAAGATCACCAAGACAATATTCATTAGGAAGAGCAGAACAAACATTTTTGCCTTTTTCCCAATCTTGAAGAAAGCATTTGGTTGTTCACCATTAAATATGATAATTGTAAATTTTCTATAGATGCCCTTTAACAATTTGAGGAAGGTGCCCTTTAGTCTGAGTTTGTTTTTATTCTAAATGGATGTGGAATTTTTGTCAAATAATTTTCCTGCATCTATTGAAATGATCATATGGTTATTCTTTTTAGGCTATTAATTTGATGAATTATACCAATTGGTATTCGTGTATTGCACAAACCCTGCTTTCTTGAATTAAAATCGACCTGGCTTTTATAAAGCAACTAAGCTTCTTTATTTCTAATACTTAAATATTTTTGTTTTATTTATACACAATTGAACCATCTTTAAATAATGTCCATTTTATTTTTCCTCTCCAATCCTTATGCCTATTATTTCTTGCCTCATTGCACTGGCTTGCTCTTCTAATAAAATGCTGGGTGGAAAATGAAGTGTGAAACCAAAAGGTGCTAAATCTGAATTGAGATTTTTATAGAAACCCATTATCACATCAACAAGGTTTTCTGGGGGCTCTGAGAGTGGAAGCACCAAATGGGTGGGTGGGGGGGCTCTAAGATAGGAAATATTTGTTATATCTACATAAATTCTATCACTGTCCCTATACAGAAATCCTTCTTTGCTGAATTTCTATCTGTTCCCAATATGATCCTTTTTCTTTATGCCTTCATGACAGCCAGTTGGCACATCTTCCACCAAGGACCCTCAGAGTAGCTAACCCATGAGATCTATTCTTAGGCCTTCTTTCCCAGGTCTGATGGTCAATTCTATCTGATTGCAGTGTGCTCAGCTCACTGTTCCTAATGAGACCAGGAAATTGCCCACACAGTTTCCTACATTCCTGTGAGCAGTGCCCTCTTCTCTGAAGAGGTTCTCACATGGAGGGAACCCATCTTTTCACAAAAGACAGTTAGCCATGCAGGAACAGGATCAGGTGGGCAGGAAATGTGAAGGAAACCAGTGGGAACTATGTGAATATGGGTAAGCCATGTTTATCCATACAGACACATCATCCTGCCAGGTATGCTCTCCTACAAGGGGGTTCATCTAAAGTAGCTTATAAAGGAATAGATGGAACCACTGGAAGGCAGACAGGTATTTTATTAGAGATATCAAGCTCTTAAATCTATGGCAGGCATGACTTCTTATTCCAAGGGTTCTCAGTTTCTGCAAAAACATTTGGGGCTGCAGGCCACAAGTTAGAAAAGAATGGAAGAGACATTAGACAGGGTCTTTATGTGCAATCACCTCAGTTTATATAAATGTAAAAAATAATGAAAGTATAATATGTCACTTTAACATACCAAGAATCAAGGCAACCAGGGTCAGACAGTGAAATCAACCAGTCATAGGAATGGGATATCAAGTGTATATGGAGTGCAAAGCAAGTTCAGATGTAGCTTTTACACATCAGTCTTAACACCCTATTTCAGGAGGATAGGAAAGATAAAAAGAACATTAACTAATATTAACTCACGTATTAACTAATGAGTTGTCTTCTTGCTGAAGACTTTCTCACCTAGAGCACATTTGTAAGGTTTCTTGCCAGTGAGAACTTGTTAATATATAATGAACACTGAGAAGTCACAGAAGAAAAAGAACTAACATCAACCCATATTCATTGCACTTTTTTTTTTACCAATAAGAAAAATATTCAGACAGTGGAAGCAATATTGCCCTAAGTCACACAATCTGTGAGTAGTTGAGCCAGAATTAAAACCCAAGACCATCTGATTCAGTACCAACCTCTTTCCACCATACCAAATTCTCAGTGAGGGACAGTAAAGGGAGACCTGCTCAAGAAACATCAAATCTAAAGTCCAGGATCCTTCCAGAGATATACTTTACAATCAATGTACATACTTGAGATGGGGAAACACATAAATGTCAACTTTATTGAATATGATCAACCTATCTTTCCATCTTTGTATCAAAATTTTACATATATCTTTAGGGGTCATGTTAAGCCCCTTCTCATGTAGTTTCTAGGAATTTTTTTTAACTCAAGCTTTCTTCATGTCATTTATAGTGAATTACTCTATGGACAAAATTATGCCAAGCTAATATTACCAATTTCACAATTGGTTATTGTTATGTGGCATGATAAATATGTAACTTGACAATATTTTATATATATTATTTGTCCTACTGGCCATTCAGTTCATAACTTTAAAAGCTTTATAGGCCATGTTGAAATGCCCATTTATTTTCCATCATCTTTACTTACAGTTAGGTATCACTGAACAGAAATGAATTTCCGGTAAAGTTTTACCTATGAAGATGTCGTCCACAAACTAATTAATATGGTTTCTAATATTTATTGAGGCTTGAGCTAATTTTGAAGGCTTTTCTGTGTTCAGTTCATTATGATTTTACCACTGTTATGAATTCTCTGGTGTACAGTGAGTTGTGACTTCTGAATGAAAGCTTTTCCACATATAGCACATTGATAGGGTCTTTCCCCAGTATGAATTCTCTGATGTAAAACAAGATCTGACTTCTGGGAAAAGGCCTTTCCACATTCAGCACATATGTAAGGTTTTTCTCCTGTATGAATTCGCTGATGTCCTGGGAGGTGGGACTTCTGGGAGAAGGCCTTTCCACATTCAGCACATATGTAAGGTTTTTCTCCTGTGTGAATTCTCTGATGTCCAATGAGATGTGATTTCTGACAGAAGGCTTTTCCACATTCACTGCATTTGTAGGGTTTCTCTCCAGTATGCGTTCTCTGATGTATGATGAGCTGTGACTTCCGGGAGAAGGTCTTCCCACATTCAGTACATTCATAAGGTTTCTCTCCAGTATGAATTAACTGATGTGTAATGAGTTCTGTCTTCCTACTGAAAGCTTCTTCACATTGAGTACATTTGTAAGGTTTCTCTCCAGTGTGAATTCTTTTATGTATAATGAGGTGGGACTTCTCACAGAAGGCTTTCCCACATTCATTGCACTCATATGGCTTCTCTCCAGTATGAGCTCTGTGATGTATGATCAGCTGTGACTTCTGGGAGAAGGCCTTCCCACACTCTCTACATTCATAAGGTTTCTCCCCAGTGTGAATTCTCTGATGTATAATGAGGGGTGATTTCTGGGAGAAGGCTTTCCCACAGTCACTACATTCATATGGCTTTTCCCCAGTGTGAACTCTCTGATGTATAATAAGGGATGATTTTTGAGAGAAGGCTTTTCCACATTCAGAACATTCATAAGGTTTCTCTCCAGTATGAGTTCTCTGATGTACGATAAGATGAAACTTCTCACTGAAGGCTTTCCCACATGCACTGCAATCATATGGTTTCTTTCCAGTATGAATTCTTTGATGCACAATGAGCTGTGACTTCTTAGCAAAGGCTTTTCCACATGTAATACACACACAGGTTTTCTCTTTAGTTTCAACATTCTGATATTGAATAAGGGATTTTTTATTGCTAAAAATGTTTCCACACTGATCATCATCACAGGGTATTATTCCATCATGATTTTTCTCAAGATCATAATTGGATGCACCATGGCTAGAAGATTTTCCACACCCCGAACTCTCATCAGGGTTTTTTCTTGAACTTCTTTTATTGTAACTAAGTAGTTCAGTATTACATTTCAAGTTCTTTTTAAATGTATCACAATTCTGGGGTCTTTGTCTTGAAGTATCTGGCTCTATACATTCTTGAAATATTTTTTCCAATGCATTATACTTATGGCCTGACTCCATAGTCACTGTTTTGTTGTTGATGACTGTTACCTGCCTGAAAAGTTTGTCTTGGTTTTCCTGACATCTCTGCAGCTGGCCATCATCTTGGCAGACTTTTAAAATGGAGTACAATGAACCATCCTTTGTTACTCCTTTCAGTATCTTATTATGGAAGGAAACAGACCCCAAAATACATGATTGGGGGTTGTCAAGGTTACTTTTCCTGTCTAAAAGAAAGAAAGATAAAAGTCATAAAGAACAATCAACAGAATGCAGAAAAATGGAAATGACTGACCCGAAATAGTTGAGGAACTCAGAATACAGCAATGGAGATAGGCTGTCTTTTAAGAGAGTGCAGCATACAGTATGATCAGATGAATGGATAGACAAAGATGTTAAAGAGAAATATGGAAAAACTAGACCTGAAGGAGATAGAAAAGTATTTGCATTATTATTACTCAAATCTTGGACTACTCTTCTATAATCTTCCCATTTCCCATTCTGAATAGAAACCCTTTTCACCTTTTGAATTCATTTATTTTACAAGTCACTTGCTATATATACTTTACTATTATCCTGCCACCACTATCCAAAGAAATGAGGTTTCTTCTGTACTCAAAATAACTCTCTTCAGTCTACTTTCCTAATTAATAACACAAACAACAGAAAAATCCAAGATCTTGCTATGGATTCAGTATCAGATTCACACCGAGAATCCAAGCTTGAATTCTGCTACTTTTTATAAATGCCTTCAATATGCATTAAGTAAAATTAGCAAAGTTCTTCCAGAAAAGCATATTTCCCTAACTTTAAGGTTTTATTTGTGTAGTCTCTACCCCCCACCACCCTCTTTACCTTCATTTTCTTCTTTAGCATCAACACTGTATCTTTCAAAGCAGCTACAGCTGCATGCTCTGAAAAATGCCTTCTCAAATTCTGTTGCATCTCTTGAGATTAGTTTTCTCTGGACTTTGAAAAACAGTAACTGAATTTGACATTTAATTGTGTACAGCCATCTGAAGTCTTACCTTTTAGAGTACAACCTATGTTCATGAAAGGAATCTGCTTTCTATTGCCTATTAAGCCTTTCCATAAAAGGGAGTTAAAAAACATACATATGATATATATTCATACATAGAGACATTCAATAAAAAAATAGCTTGCCCCTATAAAGGTTCACAATTATTTAATTGATAAATTATTTGTTGAATGTCTTCCAAATTCTCAGCACAGGAACAAAGAAGAGATTTCAATAAGGATAGAAACATAAGCCTCAGGCACCAATCAATGAAAAATAAATAGATATTTCACTTCCCTTGTCTCCCATGTGCCTGATTTTCATCTGGATAGATCCAATTTGATATGTCTCTCTTTATGACCCATGGATCTTCTCCTTTTTCCAACTTAGATATGACATCTGGTTTGGAAACTGGATACCCTATTAAATGGAAATCACAGAGAGAAATTGAGATTGACTACACTGAAGGAGAAAGAGAAGGTACAGTTTCAGGTCTATAATGAAGCAGTCCAGTTGGCCCTCAACAAATAATGATCTCCATTTGGAAAGGCATCAAGATCATAAAAGTCATTTTATATGCCAGGAACTACCTAACTACAGCAACCAATAAGGAAAAGCACTTGGTTGGATAAAACTGAGTTATGTAGAGAAGCCATCCTTACCCACTGAGACCAGGTGGTTGAAGTTCTCCAGCATCACATCCTTGTACAGGGTCCTCTGAGCCAGGTCCAGTTGCTGCCACTCCTCCTGGGTGAAATCCACAGCCACATCCTTGAATGATACTAACCCCTGTAACAGTAATTTCCTGTTCAATCTTAAGTGGTCATCATTCTCATCATTTCTACTATAGTATGCAAAATTATAGTTCCACCCAGTATTTGAGAGAAATGATGTAAAATCTTGCCTTTAGCAAGAATAGCCTGACAGAGCAGGAAAACAGAAGAGGTAAATCATAAAATGCCTACCTAATACAAATGTTAATTTAATAAATGATCAGGGCAACATTCAAATAACTGGAAAGATGGATTATTCAATGAATAGTTTTGAAACAACTGGACAGTCAAAAGGAAAAGAACAGTGTTTATTCATATTTTAAAGGTTGAACTGTATCCCCTTAAAATTCATATGAAGTCCTAAACTCTAGTATCTCAGTTTGTGACCTTATTTGGGAACAGTCATTGCAGATATAATAAGTTATATGAAGTTAATAGGGTGGGTCCTAATCCAATATGACTGATGTCCATAACAAAAGAAATTTTAACTGAGAGACAAACACACATAGAGGGAAGATGATATGAAAGACATGGGGCAAAGATGTCCACCTTATAAGCCAAGGAGAGGTCTGGAATAGAGCCTTCCCTGACAGCCCTCAGAAAAAATCAACCCTGCCAGAGTTGTTACTTCTAGCCTCCAGAACTGAGACAACAAATTTCTGTTGTTTAATCCACCCCCTTGTGGTATTTTATTACAATAGCCTTAGCAAACTTATACACTGTATTTTAAATCTCAGAAAATAGAAAAAAAAACACATTCTGGATGGAGCAAACATTTAAACCAAGAAAATACCCATGACTATTAACAAAACAAAACATGGGAGGATTTTTATTAATTGTAAGGCAGAGAAAGCCTTTTTAAGTAAATCATTAAAAAAGAAAACACAGGGGATTCAAGATGGTGGCATGAGAGGTGAGATAGAGAACTCCCCCCAAAACCACATACAGTAAGAAAATATACTTAATACAACTAACCCTAACACAGCAAAAGAAAAAAAGGCTGCACCACACTGCATACAGACTTCACGAACATAGCACACCTCACGAAGCAGGGTAACATACGAAAGCCTTGATCCAGCGGGACTGAGCCCTTCCCTCACCCCAGCTCACTGGCAGGAGGAAGAGAGACAGAGTGGGGAGGGGGATGGAAGCCTGGAACTGCTGAACTTCCAGCCCTGGAGGTCTGCTTTAGAGCGCAAACCTGCATTCTGTGGTGCTCTGGAGATTGGTGGGGTTGGGGAGCTGGGATGGGCAGAGTGCTTGAGAGACTGAGATAAAGGAAAGGCAGGCAGTCTGAGAGGCTTCCTAGCACTGAGAGGGCTGCTGAAGGGGCGGTATCTGCACTGAGCTTGCTGTGCAGGAGAAGGGATAGGTGGACAAGGTTGTCTGGGCACATCTGCCCAGCAGGCTGGGAACTTTGAGGAGCTTCAGGAGCTCCATCCCCCTGACTGTCTACTCAGCTCTGAGGCCCCCAACTGTGATGTACAGCCTGCTGCGCCTTGCTCCTGGCCAGCCAGCACTGGCTTGCAAACCCGCACTCACTGCACTGGCGTCAGGCCAGCCAGAGGGAGGCCCTGCCTAAAACAGCTAGAGACGCAAAGCACAGAGGCTTACACCTGTGTGCTCAGCCCACTGGTTCTGACACTGGAGACAGGCACCACAGACAGGAATCAGGAGACAGCTCTTTCCTCCCCCAAGGCAGTAGCGCTGTTCCCCTATGACCCTCAACTTCAGTCTAGGGGCTTAGCAGCTCCAGAGACTGGAGCTTCTGGGCACTAGAGGGAGCCACATAGAAATATGAAATGTCAAAGAAATCTGGTCCAGACCAAAATCTCACAAACCTGAGAAAAAGGGCCAAATGAAACTGAACTCACCAACCTTCCTGAAAGAGAGTTCAAAATTAAAAAGACAAACATGCACATGGAGGTACAAAAAAATATTCAAGAACTCAGGAACGAATTTGATGGTGATTCAATCAAAAAGAAATTCCATATCTGAAATGAAACATATAATGGAGGGATTTAAAAGCAGATTAGATGTAGAAGAAGAGATGGTAAATGGAATAGAAATTAGAGAAAAGGAATATAAAGAAGCTGAGGCACAGAGAGAAAAGAGGATCTCTAAGAATGAAAGAATATTGAGAGAACTGTGTGACCAATCCAAACAGAACAATATTCACATTACAGGGGTACCAGAAGAAGAAGAGAGAGAGAAACGGACAGAAGTGTCACTGAGGAGGTAATTCCTGAAAACGTCCCCAGTCTGGGGAAAGAGATAGTCTCTCAAGCCATGGAGGTACACAGATTTCCCAACACAAGGGACCCAAGGAAGACATATAATAATTAAAATGGCAAAGATCAAGGATAAAGACAGACTTTTAAAAGCAACTACAGAGAGAAAAAAAGATCACATACAAAGGAAAACCCATCAGGCTATCATCAGATTTATCAACAGAAACATTACAGGCCAGAAGGAGTAGCATGATATATTTAATGCAATGAAGCAGAAGGGCCTTGAACCAAGAATACTCTACCTGGTAAGGTTATCATTTAAATTTGAAGGGGGGATTAAACAATTTTCAGATAAGCAAACACTGAGAGATTTACCTCCCCCAAACCACCTCTACAGTGCATTTTGAAGGGACTCCTATAGATGGAAGTATTCCTAAGGCTAAACAGATTTCAAGTGAGGGATAGAAAAAAGAGTACAGAATATGATCCCTAACATATAAAGAATGGAAGGAGAAGAAAAAGGAGGAAAAAAAAAAAAAAAGAACCTTTAGGCTGTGTTTGTAATAGCATAAGAAGAGAGTTAAATTAGACTGTTAGATAGTAAGGGAATTACCCTTGAACCTTTGGTAACCACGAATCTAAAGCCAGCATTGGCAATAAGTACATACCTATAGATAATCACCCTAAATGTAAGTGGTCTGAATGCACCAATCAAAACACATAGTGTCACTGAATAGATAAAAAAGCAGGACTCATCTACATGTTGCCTATAAGAGACTCACTTCAAACCCAAAGACATACACAGACTGAAAGTAAAGGGATGGAAAAAGATATTTCATGCAACTAATAGGAAGAAAAAAGCAGGAGTTGCAGTATTGTATCAGACAAAACAGACTTCAAAACAAAGAAAGTAACAAAAGACAAAGAAAGACATTACATAATGACAAAGGGGTCAATATAACAAGAGGATATAACTATTATAAATATCTATGCATGCAACACAGGATCACCTACCCATGTGAAACAAATACTAACACAATTAAAGGGAGAAATAGAATGTAATGCATTCATTTTAAGAGACCTCAACACACCACCCACTCCAAAGGACAGATCAACCAGACAGAAAATAAGAGTCAGAGGCACTGAAAAAAGTATTAGAACAGATGGACCTAACAGACATCTACAGAACACTCCACCCAAAAGCAAGAGGATACATATTCTTCTCAAGGGCACATGGAACATTTTCAGGAATAGACCACATACTAGGCCACAAAAAGAGCCTCAGTAAATTCAAAATGATTGAAATCGTACCAATCAGCTTCTCAGATCACAAAGGTATGAAACCATAAATAAATTACACAAAGAAAATGAAAAGCTCACAAACACATGGAGGCTTAATAACATGCTCCTAAACAATCAATGGATCAATGACCAAATAAAAACAGAGATCAAAGAATATATAGAGACAAATGACAACAATAATTCAACACTGCAAAATCTGTGGGATGCAGCAAAGGCCGTAATACGAGGGATGTATATAGCAATACCGGCCTATCTCAGGAAAGAAGAACAATCCCAAATGAAGAGTCTAAATGCACAATAAATGAAACTAGAAAAAGAAGACCAAATGAGGCCCAAAGCCAGTAGGAGTGACATAATAAAGATTAAAGCAGAAATAAATAAAATTGAGAAGAATAAAACAATAGAAAGAACCAATGACAGCAGGAGCTGGTTCTTTGAGAAAATAAACAAAATAGATAAACCCCTAGCCAGACTTATCAAGAAAAAAACAGATTCTACAGACGTAACTGAATCAGAAACAAGAAGGAAAAATCACTACAGACACCACATAAATAGAAAGAATTATAAGAATACTAGGGAACATTATATGGTAACAAACTGGATAAACTAGAAGAAAAGGAACACTTTCTAGAAAAATACAACCTTCCAAGGCGGACCCAGAAACAGAAAATCTGAACAGAACAATTACCAGCAAGGAATTGAATTGCTAATCAAAAAACCACCTAAGAACAAAACTGCTGGACCAGAGAGTTTCACTGATGAATTTTTTTCAAACATTTAGTGAAGACTTAATATCCATCCTACTTAAAGTTTTAAAAAGAGTAGAAGAGGGAATACTGCCAAACTCATCTTACAAGGTCAGCATCTCTCTAATACCAAAACCAGGCAAAGAAACCACAAAAAAAGAAAATTTTAGACCAATATCCCTGATGAACATAGATGGAAAAAATACTCAACAAAATATTAGCATACCAAATTTAAAAATACATCCAAAAGATTATCCATCATGATCAAGTAGGATTTATTCTGGGGATGCAAAGATGGTACAACATTCGAAAATACATCATCATCCACCACATCAAGAAAAAGTAGAACAAAAACCACATGATCATCCTCATAAATGCTGAAAAGGCATTTGACAAAATTCAACATCCACTCATGATAAAAACTCTCAACAGAATGGGTATAGAGGGCAAGTACCTCAACATAATAAAGGCCATATATGACAAACCTACAGCCAACATTATACTTAACAGCAAGAAGCTCAAAGCTTTTCCTTTAAGATTGGGCACAAGACAAGAATGCCCACTCTCCCCACTTTTATTCAACATAGTACTGGAGGTCCTAGCCACGACAACCAGAAAACACAAAGAAATAAAAGGTATCCAGATGGGTAAGGAAGGAGTCAAACTGTCCCTGTTTACAGATGACATGATATTGTACATAAAAACCCCTAAAGAATCCACTCCAAAACTACTAGATC